CCACTCACCTGGGAGACGGACAGAACACAGGCTAATGTCAACAGCTTCATCTTGGTGGAACTCTGGAGAGAATTATCACAATAGTTAACAGTTTGTTTGTCGTTATCTTACAGTAACATCTCATCTTATACTGCCTCTTGTTTTTAACTAGTAATGTCTCACAAGGTCTATTTTAAACATTACTTCTGTCTTACATAATTTTATCACACTGTTTTACGTATAGCACACTGCACACTACTCAAATTAGAATCTATGCATAATTTATTAAGATTATTAACCACCTACGATCTATGTTTTTATATACGTGAGTATTGCAGCAACATAGTATATTCAAGTAACTTCTAATTATAACAACACAAAGAAGGATAAGGTCTCAACTTACTCTCTTACGTTGTTGTATGAGATGTGTGAATAGATATGTGGCAGACGGTCGTTTATATACCGTAGTGGGTGGGGCTTTCTAGTGAGGCTCCTCCCACACACACACACATAGGTTTCAATAACAGTATCGTCCCAACATTCAGCCCTTTATTACCAATGTATGTGGTCCCAGGTTTCCGCTCAGTAATATATAATGACAAAATAAAATACCCGGAATTAGAGAAGAAATTTCATACTTAGACAAGTGTAATTACTAACGTTGCTACCAGCTTAAAGACCTTACCTATTAAAGAGCAGTAATAGCATATATATATATATATATATATATATATATATATATATATATATATATATATATATATATATATATATATATATATATAAATATTAACGTTAACGGAAAGGTCCTAAATTATACCCCTTCCTAAATTATATTCGGGTAGATTCACGGTACTCCCAGATAATACCCGATGTAGTTTCTGGAATCTACATTTTACTCTTGGAATCTACCTCCTATTATATAATACGTCAGTGTACAAATATCCAGTCCAATTCTGTCTGGAAAATCCTATTATTTTATCTACTGTACACCCTTGTCAATTAATATACAAATGTAAACATGATGGAATTGTACTCATAAATATCCTGTACATGAGTTTAATATAATGTGTTTTTTGCTCTGCAGGCATTATTACATATAAAAGCAACGATATATAATTTATTTAACTTTGCTCCGATATTATTGATGACTAAGTCTGAACAGCGGGGACAGAGTTAAACTGGTCAGTGAGATAGGGAGCGAAGAAACTAAAATCAATCGCACTAAAAAATTAAGGAAACACTTGTAAGAAAATGTAAAAATATCATTACTGGGCCCTGATACTTAAACAAGCCTTATACCTGCACACTAATGTGCTGCACTACCTACAGTAGGCACTATAGGCCCAGGGAGGTAAGGATAAGATTTCACCCTGGAGTAGAATCCAAAAACTACCTGGGGTAAATTCTGTAGGCCCGAGAGTCTGCCCGGAAAGGAGTAGATTTTCAGACTCTACACTGGGTTTGGCGAGGTAATTATAGGCTATGTTAGGGATGGTTTGTGAAAAGTTTACAACTTTTATATATTTTTTTACCTGAATTTGCCTTCGAAGAAAATGTTAGAGCCACACATGTGGTGGTAACACCTGCATGTGATGTGTGTGGCAGGTGACTTTTGGTAGCCTCAATACCTGTGGGTGAGGTGCCGAGTTGAACACCTGTTGTGGACGACCGTAACAAGGCGCTGCTGACAAGACACGAACATCTCAGTGACGCATCAATGTCCTTAGCGTTGTAGAGGGCGGCACAAGACCCATACACCTTAACCTTGTGAGGCTACAATAAACTTGTGTCACTGAATGGTGCTGAAGGGACAGCTGGTTTCAGGCTGCTGCAAATCTTTTCTGTTTTTGTTTTGTTTCATTTCCCCATATTTTTGTATACCTTCTCTTGTAGTGTCCTAGCCACCTGTTCTTCCAAGAAACTACCACTTTTGTTGGCTCAGAATATATATTTTATTGGCAAAAATTTTCTTTTCTCTTATTAGTATGTGGCATCTCTTTGTGGGTTATGTACAGGTATGTGTGATTGGTTTACATATGCTTCCCATTAGGCTATATCGAATGTAACATGATTTAACGGCAAAGAAATTAGTGTGTAAATAGAACTCGTGCTGCAGATTTAAGTCTTTAGATTATTATGACAAAATAATTGTGGAAAAGATACATTTAATTTTTAAACACTTGTGTGTATACACAGTAAAAAATTATTGCTCAGGGGGGGGGGGGTCAGCTGACTTCCGTAATGCTCTATACATAACCTGATGAGCTGGGAGGGTTGGTATGCGTGCCTGTATGGCAAAGGTTTCTACCTACCTCTGGTAGGGCCATATTAGTTACGTCCCACAGGACCGGCATTATATCATCAGCACCATTACATTAATTGCCTTACAAGGCATATTCCACTATCCCTCGTCCGTGGTGTCATATTATTTGGCACATAATCCGTGCGGTACTTTTTTTTACTGTGTACACACGTTTGAAAAAGGATACAAACGTACTGTATATTTTAAATATGGCTAATGTTAGAGAAACGACCACAAACTGGGCCGCTATTTCTTCTTATACAACTAAAATTACGTAGCCTAACGAAATGACCTCAGAGTAATTTTGCTTGGGCAATCACAGATCTGATTCGAATCACCTGAAAAGTAAATGGATTTATAGTCTATGGTGTATATTTGGCGGTCTTGGAGACAGACTATATGTAAAAACAGTATCGAATAATGAATAATCCGCATTGTCGCGATAACAAATAAAAATACCTGGAAGGCAACGGTTGTCATTTGTCACCAGAGGCAATTTTTTTCACCCAAAATTGATCTGGGAAAATGATAAAAAAGCTTTTCGCTTGACTGGCTGAAGCTCTTTTTTTACGGGGATTAGCCCACCCGGGCACACGTCACTGACCCACATCGGGCCTGGGAGACGAAAATGTAATAATATTAATAATAATGATAGTAATTATAATAACAAAGAACCATAAAGATATACAAAAATGAAAAAAAAATCGAGTGAGAAACAATATAAGTATGTTGTGCCAAGGGTAAGAGAAACAATTGAGACCTGCAACTGTGTGCAAATGAGGCACAAAGTCAGTTCAGCAACCTGGGACTTTAATTTTTAATTGTTTGGTTGGGCTCCAACCTAAACCAATGAAGCTCAATCTGATTTATATCTTATAACGTCTTATAGATGATATGAATGTATTTTTTTGTTTTATAATATTTATTGATATATAAAGATATTGTGTGGCATACTTGTTTTGGTTATGAAATAATTATAGCGTGGCAACATTGGGTAGGAGGGCTCGTGTTCCCTGTCCACAAAGTCAGCCATTTTGCTCATGCGTGGGGACTCGCGAATTTGAATTTCTTTTACGTTTTTCTTTCGTGCACCACTTCCAACACCAAAAGCTTACAAACAAGTGAGTTTTACTATAAGGTCTACCTCTTTTATGTGTTTTAGATTTCATGTAACTGACGTAATAAGTTAAATACAGATTGTCGACGGCATCTAGGGACTTGGATGACGACTGACTAACAGATTAGTGGTATTTTTTTGTTTGTTATTGGGCACTCCCCTACATCCTTGTGTAAGGTGAAGCGCAGAAGCGTTTACAGCGCCCAACAGGGAAGCATGCTAAGTTCATGCTTGCCTTTATGTCTCATGAGTTAAGGGCATAGAAGCCTGAAGAGTCAATTGGTTTTATGTCATCAAGTTATTGGAAGCTCCAACATTGTCCCTGAATACGAATTCGCAACTTACACCAGGTACCTACTTTACTGCTAGGTGAACAGGGACTAATGGGGGTTAGGAAGTATGTCCAAACAACTTCCACTGGCCCGGGAATCGAACCCGTGACATCTCGCTTGCGAAGGCAAGAGCGTTACCACTCTACCACCAGCACCCCCGTTTATTGGTAATGAAACGTATTCAATGAAGTTGTTGAATAAATTAATATATAATGTCAAATGCAGACAAACCTATTTATTTTTATTTTTTAAAGTTCATCGGGTAACTGAACGTCAGGAGTAAATTTTTCTCTCACCCGAGTTTCCTTTGCTGCCATAATTATAACCAAAATATTTATCTTTTTATACATGAAGATTTTCGGTTACAATTAATTTAAGTTGCGGATATATTGACGACCGACCAACACAAATGACTTAAGGTGGGAAAATTTTATATTCATCTTCGCCATTTTATGATATTAGTTTGACTCCTGTTTATTTAATGTGCGTATACATAATGAAAATTAGGTAGGGGAATTAAGGGAAAAATGTGCGATAACCGGTGCTCAAACAAAACATCTCTATATATTTAAGCTTTTGTAGGTTATTTTAATATATATATATATATATATATATATATATATATATATATATATATATATAGTTCCTTTGGGAAATTCTGTTTTTCCAGGTGAAATCTGAGACCGAGAATTGGTGTATTAGGGCTCGGAGAGGAGTGGCTAGTCTCGGTAATGTGTCGGGAGTCAGTAACACCATTGAACACAATAAAAAATCGGTCTAAAATCTAGATAAACCTTTTTTTATGCTAAATAATTCTCCGGTGTTATCTGGATTATTACCCAAGAACCATGTACGGTGCAGACCATACTGTCCTAACCTAACCAAAGAATGTTAGTATTGTTTTTGATGCATCTTGCGGTCTGCTTCTTAATTGTTTTTCAAATTTGAAATCCGTTCAGTGCATTAAAACAAACAAATATATGAAGACCCAGAGAAAAATACGAAGCCCGTCTGTTTTTTATCTGCCGATAGTGTGTAAGAGAACTGACCGACTGAAGAGGATAAAGTAAATAAAGTGAGAACAGCATACAATATATTAACACTTTTTCACCCTAGTTATAACTTACCTGGAACAAATATATAAGGTTCTGAGGGTGAATAATAAGGGTGAAGTCATGAAACTGTTACTATTATTGTAATCATTTTGTTTTATTGGGAATTTAATAATACCATGTCATTTAAATCTTTTATTATACATGTACACTTAAATACATCTGTACCACAAGACTTAAAATTACATTGTGAGACCATAAACACAAATACAATCGCCGGCTAAGCTCCCGAGGCCTTGTGCCCTTTATTATTAGCGATGATGCTCATATCTCTATCCTTTGCAGCTTCCACCACACACACGGGAGAAGATGAAAGCTCTCATGAATATATTGAGAGAAGCAGATTACGGTACACGGCTTTATCCAACCCAGTAAACAGTCTACCATATTCATGTTGGTGCTCGTCGAAGAGATGAGGTAAGTTTATTCCTTGTTAGTTATAAATGTGGTGTTGTGCTGTTTAGTTCTACCATTGTATACTTATGTTTTGGTGGGAACTTGACTGATGTAACTTGTGTGGCAGGATGCGGCGGCTGTCTTTAGGGTGGCTGGTTCGTGTCTAACATTCCAGTGAATCTATCTGTGAGTTGGACCCGGAAACACGGTCGAGGCGTTGTTCTGGCCGCAGTGCATCCCTTTATTCCTCAAAAATGCTAAGTTTGCAAATATATTGTATCTGCACTTATAACGGACCGTCACGCCTACGGGATCTGCTTTCACTCACTATGCACACAAAACAAATCCGGTAATGTTGCAAGGATAAAACTTGTAAGCAGCATACGACAGAAACCATCCAAACCAAACTAACCCACCTAGCCTAACGTGACCTAACTTAAACTATAGCTTGGCCTCACGTTACCTAACCTAACTTAACGATCTTAGGTTATGTATGATGGTAACCCCTTATTCCTTTGTTCCTAACGGTATTAAAATCTATATCGTAAAATAAACAAGATCTCTGCCTATAATAAGTCAAAAGTAGCAGAGCTGAAGTGAACGTTTACCAGTGATAAGGTAATGGTGCATCTTATTCCGTCAGTGGTGTTCAAATTAGGAAATTGTTGGGTGGATTTTGATGTTGGCTTTGCTTCCTTTGAGGTACTAAACCGATTTTGTTATTAACTTGCAGGTATAGTGCATTTAATAGAGGATGTACTGTGTAGTGTCTTGTATATTTTAGAACACGCGATTGAACATGATTCAAATGTCCAATATTAAAAGAGTTACCTTGTATAGGAACATCACTTTTTTTCCAGGCGACACAAAACAACTTATCGTACATGGAATTAATTCGCGATCGTTAGGTTAAATTAGATGTTAATATCTGTAAAAATTAACAGTACAGTATATGTATTGGTAATTGTATTTTTTTCACGTCATCTTACCAGCGTAGTTACATGAAAACTTGAAAATGGGAAAAGGCAGGATGCGTTGTTTACAAATATTCCTATTATTGACGATATAGAAATTTGGTTCGTGTCGTTGGCTTACTGAGACCTTTTCCAACGAATGAATGAAATTTGTTCAGATAAGACTATTAGATGGCGACTAGGTATGAAATAACACATTATTAGTGTTTATATTTCTTTATAATATTCAATTTGGGGGTTTGGTTTGTTCCTGTGATTTGCTTCATAATTCGTTTACATATTCGGGTTTTGCATCACACCGTTTTTGTATTCTTTGCAGTAAAATAAACAGTAGTGAAGATCCCGTCAAAACTCATAAGATATAAAAGTGGCGGAGCTAAAACGGAGATGTTGTATAAGATAATCTAAGTTTGTTGTAGTGTTCTATCTTATTCTATAAACCACAACAAAATTACCGAAAGATTTACTGTATCGTGAGCGTTTCATCCTACACAATAAACATCAACAAAACTATATAGTACTGAAAGTCTCGGAAAAGAGAGAGAGACACGTGCACTGTATTTAGATTATAATTTCAAATGCTCAACGAGACGAGATAAACAATAAAAGCAACACGAGGCTATGTAGAGCTGAGGAGCAGGGAGGAAGGGAAGGCGGGGAGGAAGAACACACTCGCCGGGTCACGTTCCGACACTTCTCTTGGTGCACGTCGCTGTAGGAGAGCGTCGCCGTCATCTTCTTCAGGAATACCGCCTCTAATTTTCCACACTTAAGGTAACTCATCCCGTACACGCAGTTTAGGAATCCCTCACGAATACTGTAGGAGAGAGAATAATGTCTCAGGAACGAATTTCAGAGTAACCCCAACAAATAAATCGCTAAGAAAACTTTAATTATGATATACAGTAATACTCTTGATCACCATCTTTTGTCATTCCGTCAACCAGTGTTCTGTGAGTCAAGTGATCAAATTAAACATTGATGTCTGTGTCAACTCCAGCACAGAGTAACTTGTATAATACTGTATGTCATGTTTGTGGTCGTCTGCAGTCTAATAAGTAAGCAACAGCAGATGTAGTGGCGTTCATTACGCTCCATCCCATAGGGTCTACTTGATACCAACCAGCAAACGTATAGGATACACCGTGAAAGCTTCGTTACTAACCAGCAAATGTTGTGGTCACGCTGGGCTTGGGTGAGATTGGCGTGGGTGTGTTGAAGGCCCACTAGGTGCTTGAAGTGGTTGTGGCAGCGGTCCCAGTCTTCCCGTACCTCCTTGATGCACTCGCCATGTGACAGGTACTCTAAGGAAACCAAAGTTACTGTAGGAGAGTAGTCTGTTGGACCTAGTTATTGAGAAGAGTACTCTGGAGAGCTATTCACTGTGGGAAAAGTACCAGAGAAGAGCTAGTCACTGTGGGAAGAGCTGGTCACTGGAAGAAGAATACGGGAAAATATTTATAACATTTAGTGAGAATTACGGTTGGAATTAAGTACAATCAGAGACCTATGACTTACAAATATGAAATACGGGAGAATATTCGGGACACTTCATGAGGAAGGAACCAGAAGTAAAACACGACTTAGGTTAGGTTAGGTTCTTGAATGAGTAGCGTATTGAGGGAAATTAAATAAGTTAGGAATGGCTATTAAGGAACTTGGGTTTGGTTAGTTGGAAGGATACGATGCTTCATTTTAAGACACTTATTTTTATGACTTACATCCTCTTTTTGGCAGACAGACAGGCAGAAAGAGACAGAGAGAAACACTCATACATAGAGACAGACATATCCTCACTGTGGCAGAAGGGGAGAAGGCAGCCTAGTGACTTTATCCTGTCACAGTGAGAATCTAACCCAGAGGTGTGTGTTGATTTTTCTCATTATGTTGTCAAGGAAGGATCAAGTCTTGAGATCATATAAGTAACGGGGTGGATATATTGTGATACTTTGTAATGTTGCCTCTCTCTCTCTCTCTCTCTCTCTCTCTCTCTCTCTCTCTCTCTCTCTCTCTCTCTCTCTCACACAAATGACACGTAAATCATGGGAATGAGTTTCTTGAAATCTAGCACCGCAATTAAGCAGTGTGTAAATATTTTGTACCATTTTATACCTCAACGTAAAGCTCCGTTGAAAATAATTACGGTCCAGAATAGTTGAAAGTTGGTTTTTATTTTAGTTTTCATAAGAGTATTTATTAGATCTGTCGCAATGATATTTTCTATAAGCGTCCAGTAGATGACTAAACATTATTTAAACCATTGTGGGATTTTCATTTAGATTACATAACTATAGATGGATTTTGAAAGGTTGAAGAAATTTATTAATACTTGAAAAAAAGATAAATTTTTAACAATATAAATGTTTCATCATCAGGGCCGCCGAGAGAACGGTGAAGCCCGAATAAATCCCCAAGGGCCAGGGAAAAGGGGGATATAAATATGAAATGCTCTTCTGTAAAAGGGGCCCATACATTTATTTTTCCCCCGGGGCCATGGCCAGCTCTCGGCGGCCCTATTCATCATTTCAAAATATATGTCGTATCCACAACCCACTCCACATCACTCAATGTTACCAATTATAGGTTAAATTATCTTAGTCAATTCGAGTATTGTATACCTTGAGACCAACGACTGATCTGGTAACGCTGACTGCTGACTGAGGTGTTTATGTCTGTATGTACAGTATGTCTTCAGGTGGATTATTCTGTGGTAAAGGAGAGGTTCAATTAATTTAAAAATGAGCACCACGAATCCTGTTGTCTCGGTAGGGTTGTCAAAATCCTTCGTCCTTTGTCATAAATGTCTCACACAAAACCATAAAGGGTGTCTAGCCAAATTTTATTAAGGAGTTGCAAGTTATAAGCAGAAACACACACTTCAGGCACGTATTTTTACTGAGTCGATGGATCTCAGTAAACATTGTAGACTCACTGTAGTGGGTTAGGTTAGGTTAGGTTAGGACAGGACCTTCATACATTCATATGCATGTTGATCTATACATTTGCATATATAGTATATACGTGCGGAGTGTATATACAGTACATGTTTGTTGGTGACGAGACAACCCAAACACGGGTCATTCACTCGGAAAATGAATAAATGTGCAGTATTGTTTCACCATGTAAATTGTGACCAAAATAGAAGTTAATAATGGACTTTCTATGGATTTATGAAATACATAATATTATTTTACATGTTTGTTATATTACATGTTTATTAATAATTATGTTTCTCTTAGCATTTAGCACTCGGCTGATTTCTGAATTAAAATCCGGGCAGCGCACACGGAATTTTTTACAGATATTTTAAATATAAACTGTAATTATCTTTGTCTAAATGATCATATGGAGTTAATATAAATTAATATGTGTGTGTGTGTGTGTGTGTGTGTGTGTGTGTGTGTGTGTGTGTGTGTGTGTGTGTGTGTGTGTGTGTGTGTGTGTGTGTGTGACTACAAAATTACTTTTGAATTCGAAATCATCAGGTTTGGGACGAATAGAGAGTTCAGTATTCAAATAAAAATACAGTATCTTTACTTTATACAGGTATTTTTATAAATGCAAAATAAGAATTAAGTTAAGAATACTTGTCTGCATACTTTGACTGATCTGTGCGGTAATGATAAAACTTAACCTAAAACTATTCAAAACTGGTTAATAGTGTGGAAATTTGCCTAACTCAGCACTGTAGCTATGTATGATAACTTAAGCAAGTGTTTGGTGACTTAGAAGAATGTCCTTTGTATTTTATGAGCACCATTCTGTCTTGTCAGTTCGGCAGCAGCGGTCAGTGTTGAAAGTCTTCCCTCAGTAGCTAAACAAACGCTTCAGGGAGACAGGAGATACCGGAACATGGGGTAGTACTCACCTTCTGTTTTTATGGGATGTTCGTGTTTCAGTGTTAAAGTTGGATAAAATTCAAATAAATATTGCATGGATTGAAAATGTCACTTATCATTAATGGCAGCTGAGAAACAGGGGCAGTACAGTGTTGGTGAAGGTGTCGTGTAGCGAGGGTTGGCTTAACGAGTCACTTACTTCACTCACTATTGGACTGTTTTATATATATCTATCCCTATTTTTACCTTACGGGTAATATAGAGACAGAGGCCACAGCGAGCCTTTATCACGGTAGCAAGACCATGAAATGTGAGAGGAGAAAGTTGACTAATGTGAAGACAATTATCCAATTATTTGTGGATTATGGTTTTATCATTGATCCCATTTGAGTGTGAGTGAACGCATCCATCTTAAGACACTCTATCTGGATGACACAAGATCAGTAAGATTAATAACAAATAACTCAAAAATCTCAAAATTAATAGCGAATGTGGGCTTTATTTTCGTAATTTTGGAAACAGTGACTTTGCCTAAAATGTTCAGAAAGTCGTCAACATTTTGTTGTCAGTGAAATAGCAACGAGTGAATTTTGATATATTGAAGTGACTAATACTTTTTCATGTAAAAATTAATAGCAAAATTACTGACATATTTTATGTATGTAATCATAGTAATACCGAAAAGTGACTTTATTGCACTAAAAGTATCGTTTTCATGCAAATATTCAGTGAATACATATACTGTACGGTATTCTCACAGTATTCAAATACAGATACTTTGAGTTTTCTTTCTGGAGATTTGGACAATTAAAACAAATACAGTACTGGAAAAACGACTACTGCACGTACTGTACAGTACTTGCTTTGTGTACGAAACGATCCATGTGCGAATTTTAAGAAACTGGTTTTGTATGAATCGACCTGGTTTAACATTAACAGTGGTTCATAATGATTCTGTATCTTTGTATAAATATTGAGAGGTTAAATAGATTGTAATCCTGATACACGCCATTCCAGCAGGCCCCCCCCCCCCTCCACACCACTTCTTAACCTAATTTAATCATTAGGGCTGTGTCCCTTTAAGAACATGACCCGTTAGGACGGGGTCTATAATGATGGACGCCAGTGCTGTGTTAGGTTGGGGCTCGGTGGGTGTATGACGTGTTGTGACTGAGACTAATTCAGCCAGTGTGTTTGAAGCTAGACTATGGTGATAATAGCAACAGGAAGAAAGAATAAATACCAGTCGTTGCCGCTCGGACTCTGGAACGCCCAAAAGACGACCAGTTACGAAAGTGGTGCCAGCCTCTGAAACGACTGTAACTGTCTCGCTCTTCTGCGGTCACTTCCCAGTCTATTCTACACTCCAGGTGACTGTAGTGTTTCAGTGTTCCACCAGTGTTTCAGTTCCCCCAGTCCCTACATATGGAGGTTTCACATCTAACAGACCCTCGATATAACGGACTTCCATCTCTATATAGTTCATTATATTTAGGTTTCACTGTAGTACCCTCTATATAACGGACTTCTCTCTCCATGCATTCCGTTAATTGGAGGTTTCACATCTAACAGACCCTCGATATAACGGACTTCCATCTCTATATAGTTCATTATATTTAGGTTTCACTGTAGTACCCTCTATATAACGGACTTCCATCTCTATATAGTTCATTATATTTAGGTTTCACTGTAGTACCCTCTATATAACGGACTTCTCTCTCCATGCATTCCGTTAATTGGAGGTTTCACATCTAATAGATCCTCGATATAACGGACTTCTCTCTCTCCATATAGTCCGTTAAATAGGTTGTTTCACTATAGTAAGTACCTCTTATGTTAACCTTTGACCTTATATTCAGGGTCATACTATAGGTTATCAATATCGTCTCGGTCTCATTCTCTTGAAGGTGTTAGCGTTCACCTGTTAATTAAAATGTAATTAAGTTAACTTGTTCGGTTAATTATTTTCAGTCCAGGTCAATTAAATTTTCCACCACCAATTCGTAATATGTTTTTTGAAGAGTCCCGTTGAGTCCATTGAGCCTTGAGTCCAAATGAGAGTCCAGATTGAACATTCGATACATTTCTCCCCAGATATTGAAAACAACTTAATTTAGAAGGAAAATTAGAATCAGTTTTCCCCAGATGATAAAATTATAGACAAAATAATTTACAAAACAAACTTTAAATTATAGACAAAATAATTTACAAAAACAAACTTTAAATTATAGACAAAATGATATAGACAAAAATAATTTACAAAAACAAACAAACTTCACATTGATACGTAAATAAAAAGTAACAAACTTTATCTCCAAAATATTTACACCAAAGTTTTGTCCATAATTAGTTTATACTCCCGCGAGGAAGAAAAAAAGGTTGAAAAGTTTTTGATTGGAACGTAAAGTTTTCCTCACAAACTATTGGCGATTATTTACTGAACGTGTGTCGGGTTATGGAGGAGT